AAAACCAGAATAAAGAGATAATCTTTGTGTGTGTGTGTGTGTGTGTGTGTGTGTGTGTGAGGAAGACCAGCCCTGAGCTAACATCTATTGCCAATCCTCCTCCTTTTTCTTTTTCCCCCTTTTTCTCCCAAAGCCCCAGTAGATAGTTGTATGTCATAGTTGCACATCCCTCTAGTTGCTGTATGTGGGACACCGCCTCAGCATGGCCCCACAAGCACTGCGTTGGTGAGCGCCCAGGATCTGAACCCGGGCCACCAGTAGCGGAGCGTGCACGCTTAACTGCTAAGCCACGGGGCAGGCCCCAAGAGATAATCTTAAAAGCAGTCAGAGGGGAGGGGAAAAGACATATTATGAACAGAGGAACAGCAATGAAAATCACTTACTTTTCATCAGAAAAAAACCACATGCAATTTAGAAGACAAAAGATCAACATCTTTAAAGAGACAAAAGAAAATAAGTCAACTTAGAATTCTATATCCAGTGAAAATATCCTTAAAATTGAAGGCAAAATTAGGATATTTTTAGGAAAAAAAGCTAAAAGAATCATCACCAGCAAATATGCACTACGAAAAATAAATGCTAAAGGAATTCTTCAGGCTGAAGGTAAATGATACCAAGTATGAACTAGATCTACAAAAACAAGGAAGGAAAAGTACCATAAATAATAAAGATTTTCTTAATTTTATAAAAAGACAATTGACTATTTAAGGCAGAAATAATAACACTCTACTTTGGAGTTTACTACATATGTAAAAGTAAAATATATGACAGTAATACCACAAAGGATGAGAGGGGATTATATGGAAGTATAATATTAAAGGGTTCTTCCATCATATGAGAAGTGGCATAATATTAACTTATGGTAGCGTGTTATAAAATAAGGATGAATTTCATAATCCATAGAGCAACTGCTAAAACGAAATGAAAGAGAGGATGTTACTATAGATCCTACAGATGTTAAAAGATAATAAAGGAATATTGTGAAAAACTTTATAGAAATAAATTCAACTATTATAAAGGAAATGAATAAATATCTGTACCTGTTGCTGTATATAAATTATACCTCACTAAAAAAAATATAGGAAAGGATCTTTGGTTCAACATGCATCTTGATGTCATTAATCATGTTGGCCTATCCTTAGATAAAAGTCCCAAACAGGCTATGATTTGTATACATTATAAACAAATGATTAGAGTTGGTTGGGGAATTTCATGACTCCAAAAGTAGTAGCAAAATGTCTTTGATTAATCTATGTCCTTCTGTTCTGTTCACTCTGTGTTTTCTGTAGTTAACACAGGAGCCATAAGGCCATCTGGAAATGTTGTGAGTGCAGCATTAGTGGTAATGGTGATGTGTGTTTACTATATAAATCGAGACTCTGAAGCCAACAACTGCAGGACATTTGAGAAAAGTCCAATTCCACAGAAGCTCTTTTATAGGAGGCAAGAAGTTGACAATGCAGAGCTGATGTTGGGTTATTTTGGGGTTAGTTGTTTTTATAGACTGGAAATGTGGTAGACATTGCATACCCTAAGAAGGATTTTGCAGTAGGAGCTTCACTGGAATACTTGGGATAAAAGCTTTTTGAAGTGCTTCTTGATGTGCTTTAATGTTTTCATCAGTAAATATTATCAAAATGTCACAACACAACTGGAATCCCAGAAAGTAATCTTCATGAAGTGTAGAAAAATTCCCAGGGCAACAGAAAGTCCAGCAGACATTGTGACTGAGTCTCCCCATCCCCCACCCCTACAAACCAGTGGAGTGCTGGGTGGATGGTGCACGCTCAGTAAATAGTTGTGGAAATGAATGGATGGATAGATGGTTGCATACAAACTGGAATCATTCATTCAACAACAGATAACCTACTCTAGGCCCATCATTAAGTGTTGTGGGAGTTGCAAAAGGAACACAAGACATGTGACCTGAGAACCCTTAACTTCTAAGTAGGAACGCTGGCAGACATGTGAAACCACTAAGGAAAACAGGAGTCTCTTTAATAGCAGCCTCTCTTTGTAGGATTCCCGGCCTCTCTCATTTCCCAGGAAGATAACATTTCATTTGGTAATAACCAAGCCCTCAGAGCAGTTCTTATCACCCCTTTTAAAAGATCTTTCTCCCAATTTTCTTCTGTTTCTAAGAGAGCATTAAAAAAATAGGCCCTTATTAATAGTTCTATCGTCCCAGAATTCAAACAGACCCACAATTTCCATGAAACCATCTGTTTTGTTTGCTTAGATGTTGTGGGTGCTTAGAGAAGCGGCAGCGAGTGGGGAGGTGGGGCCAGAAGTCATTTGATCTTTTGAGAAGTAAGGGTGGTATACGGGGAGGTTGTGATCACTGCTTGCATGAGCGAGTTCATATCTTGCCAGACACAAAGTATCAAGGATAAGGACAGTCTCCAAAACAGCCTTTGCTTGTTCTGGTACCAAAAAAATAGAAAGCTCAAGAAAACACTTGTAAAGAAAAGGAAATAAGCTTAGAGAAAACACCCCCGTTCCCAGACTTTATCTGGCAGGGAAAAAATACAGCGAAGCCAAGGAACCTTTTCCACACCCCCAATATGCCTTTTATAAACCCTCTTTTTTAAGCTTCAGTCTTAACACAATATTCTAGTTTTAGTGTTACCACCATGTACCAAACTTCACTAGTCCATGACTAAACATAAGACCACATTTACTTTTTTTTTTTGCATTTACTTTAATGTCCAATCTCCTCCCACCTAACTCACAAAGTAGCCCCCTCCTCTATAGCACCCCCCAGCTACTCTGAAGGGTTTCACCTCCGTGTGCTGAAGACAAACCCCAATTTTCCTATCCCAGCCTCACCCTCATATCTCAGCCTCACCCTCACGCCACCTTGCCACCACCGTTACCCTTGTGAAACTGCCGACCTGCAGGACAAAACTGCCCTCTGCCAGGTGACTGCTAATGTCATCTGCTCTCCTCCCGATGGTTGCCTCGGTGGGTGGCACTGCTGTCATCTTTATCACTCCTTCTAATGCACAACAATGAAATCTGAAAGGACAGATAGATGTGCTTTCTCATTATCAAACAATAGAGTTGACATTAAACTATGCCTTCTGATGGGATTTATTGAAATACTGGGGATAATGTAAAGAAGTACAACACAGAGAATGGTTTATAAGCACCACATGGGGACAGACCTAGGGTCAGTCACCAGGTCAGCTCCTACCTGGCCTCCCTCCACGTGGCCAAGTGAAGCTCATCCCCGCCCCCAACATTGACCTCCTCCCAGGGTGATTAACGGCGGAGACCTCTGATCCCTCCTCTCCCCTCTTTAGTAAATATTTGTTGAATGACTATAATGTTCCAGGTATTGTAGTAGACACAGAAAGATCCTTTCCTATATGTTTTTTAGTGAGGTATAATTTATATATAGTAGCATGCACAGATATTTATTCATTTCCTTTATAATCGTTGAATTTATTTCTATAAAGTTTTTCACAGTATTCCTTTATTATCTTTTGACCTCTGTAGGATCTATAGTAACATCTTCTGTTTCATTTTGTTTTAGCAGTTGCTCTATGGATTACGATATTCATCCTTATTTTATAACAGGCTACCATAAGTTAATGTTATGCCACTTCTCATATGATGGAAGAACCCTTTAATATTATACTTCCGTATAATCCCCACTCATCCTTTGTGATATTATTGTCATATATTCTACTCTAACATACATAACAATCTCCAAAATCACACGAGTGTTAGTGTTTCTGTCTTCAGGAATCAATGGTCTGGCACATGGTAAGTAGTCAGACAGTGTTAGAAATGGTCATTGCTCTGCACTAGTTCGTGTGTTATGGAGAACTTCCCACTTCTTCAGCACTGTTCTATGCTAGGAGGCTGCTTGGCAGAGTAGAAAGCCATTTTGAGTCAGACAGATTTGCCCTCAAGCCTCTGCTCTCCTACTTAGCCTCTCTGAACCCAAATTGTCTCATCTGTAACGTGAGGGTGATACTACCCACCTTGAGCAGTTAGTGTGAGGATGAAATCAGAAATCTTTGAGCAGGGCCACACTCAGTAAACGTCCCCTTCCTTCCCTGCTCAAAAGGAGCTAACTTTCGTAATTTAAATAGTGCCCCTCCACCCTCTGCCACTGAAGACACCCCAGTGGGAGGAAGGTAATTTCAAACCCTTTCATAGGCTTACAGTTTATAAAGAAGGTTAATGTTTTTTTCAGAAATTACACTTTCTTGCTCTTTTCGGCACAATATGGAGCTATTTAAAAGACAGAAACATGGATGTAGACATCTTACATCCCAGAGAGAATGAGCCACAAAGGTTCTATTTGGTCCCCAAACCATTCGCGTTTCCTACTGCTGTCTGACCCTTTCCCAATGCCGTAACCCACTTCCTCTTCCTACCTCACCGTGCCTTGAGCAATCAGAGAAAGAAAACACAGGCGCCAGCCCGCAGAAAGCACTCTTGGTTGTCCTGGGAAGTGTAGATTGCCTGGGCTTTTATTTTCAAAGCTGACTACACGGTTTCCTGTGGCACAGCCACGCGGGTGGCAGAGTTTGCTCTGATGCCTGCCCCTCCCACTTGTGTTCCTTGTGGTGGCCTTGCCCTGGGTTCTGGGTACTCGCCTCTTTCTGGATCACCTGAGCCATTTGCTTCTTGATGTAGAAGTGCCCAAGTTGCTGTGTCCCCTCAGGAGCAGTTGCATTTTAAGACTCATTTCCAGTGTAGAATGAAAACTTTGTCCTGTTAAGGGAATGGAAAACTTTCACGAGCAGATGGAGATTCCTGAGGAAGGGTCCTTTTCCCTCAGTCCTTAAATCTCACCCATCCTACGCTATGGCTGATCTGAATGGGTAATGTACTACAAAGACTTTCCCACTGATAGGCTTTGGCGAACTGTTGGGACAATAGAGCAGTATCCATGGAGATAAGAAAAAGACTAATGCATATGACTATCAACAGCAAAGTAAAAAATGTTCTAATAAGACTAATAGCCTGTCTTTGGATTTCAGGGAACAGATCCGTCAAGGCCTAGAAGAACTCCAGAAGGTTCTGCCAGGAGGAGACACTTACATGCATGAAGGATTTCAAAGGGTAATTATAAAATAGTTTTAAATTCCAAATGTAAAGTGTGATATGGAAACATCAGCACAGAGATGGCTGATGAGATAAAGCACATATGTTAAGGGAACTGAATAACACCCAATGGTAAGAGAGTAAAAAAAATTTTCCCATAAGCTTGTACGCTGATAATTCTATCCAAAAGAACTGAAGGAATGAATTTCCTGGCTCCTTCCCTGACACTGATGTAGGATTTATTAGCTAATGCTTGGCTGGCACTCTTGAATCATGCTGTATGCAAGTCCCATCCTTCCCAAGGTAAACTTTTCTGTATGGTGCTTCAGTGGTTGAGACAGAATTTCAATGACCTCAACCTTAAGGAAAACAAGTCCTAGTCTATGAGATGAAAGACATTGATCCATGTTCACGAGTATATTAATTCAATGTCAGGGCAACTTTAGATGAATGTCATCCATTGATATCTGAGGGAAGCTTGGGTGAATTACATAAAGAATCAAGACTGAGCCATGGCTGCATCTCCAACACCAGAGCCCACTGCCCAATATGGCATTTGGAAGGGCAAACAGTGGCTATATGTCTAATGACTCTTTCATCTTTTTTTCAGGCCAGTGAGCAGATTTACTATGAAAACAGTCAAGGTAAGACTATATTATAAATTACCATTATAAACTATTTAACTTTTTTTCTGTGTTTGCTTCTGAAAAAATGCCTCAGTAATTTCATGCTTCAAAAGACATATATGATATTGTCTATAATCCTTGGTCACACACTTCATCACAAAGAAGGAATGCATAGAAAGATGACACGCACCAGATCAAATCCTACTGTCCTGTTGATGCCAAGAAGAGTTACATAAAAGTAATTAAGATCCCATTATGGGCCACAGTCTGTAATGCCCGTGAAGGGTTCTGCATGTTGAATTCATTAAATTAGTAAATACTTGGATGGGTTAGTAAAGTCTTGGATTTTTATGTCGAATTTAATTTTCCTGTCCTCTGAGCTCCAAGTCTCTTCATTACTGTAATTGGATATGATACTAAGATTAAGGTACCAGTTTGGTTTAAACTTTCCTTCATTCAAATGAAAAACAAAAATGCCTAAAATGTACTTAATAGAATAACTAGCACATAGAAATAATATTGATTATTATTATAATTTTAGCTAATATTATTGTTACTACAGTGTCTTTCTTGGATAGCATTTCTTTATTTGGGACAAATCTCTTAAAATAGATCTAATATTACAGTGGGGATTTTTCTCCCAGGCCTATAGAGGTGCCCACTTCCTATTTCATTCTAAATGCAACAAGCAGAACACACCCAGTATCAACACCAACACTTGTTAATGTAACTCAACCTTCAGCAGTGTTACTAGGAGTCTAAAAATCACTGAAAGAATCCTAGTAGGTTTTGCCAACTGCTATAAGAACTTCCAGTCAGCTTGTAAATCATGATGACCATTACTCTTTGCCAGACTTTTCAAGGGGTGGTGCATGTGGTCAACTACAGCATGTGAGAAGGACCCCTGAACTGCCCAGGTGGTAGAGTTTGCTGTCAGACCTTGGTGACAATCACATGGTCTGTTATTAGAAAATAATCACATTTGATTCACTGGAGCTACTCCCAGCTCTCAGTCTAGTGACGATTGCACCAGATTTGGCCATTTTTTTTCTGTCCCCACATTCTTCTTCATGCTGGAGTTGCTTCCAGTCATGAAAGAAAAGTTGCTGATTCTCACGATATTGACCTCGGGTGGTTGAGCCCGACTCACAGGGCTGAGAAGGGGTTTCCCTTGGTGCAGCAGGATGGACTGAGTGGGTTTATATTGTGTTGAGCAGGATACAGGACAGCCAGTGTCATCATTGCTCTGACTGATGGAGAACTCCATGAAGATCTCTTTTTCTATTCAGAGAGAGAGGTAAGTGATGGCCTGGCCTGTGTCTGTCTAAACACAGACGTGGAAACAGAGCTTCTTCCTTCTGAAATGGGCTACAGTCTTTCTACTCACACAAAATGATGTGTTCTTTGTAAAACCTCTGGATGAAATAGTGTTTCATATGTAAAAAAATAATAATAATAATTAATTTTTTAAGTGAATTTTCAAGTCTCAGACATGGTAGACATTTTTCCCTTTTAAAAATATTTGCATATTACTCTATGTTTTGAGGAATAAAAAAATCTATCATGTCTTTATTGAAAACACTATATTGATCTAGCAGTTTTAAAATACTATAAATCACTTTTAAACAAAAACATTGGTAGCATTTTTCCTCCATTTTCCTTCATATTTTCTACTAAAAACAGGAGGAAGGGAAAGAATTACTTGAAATATGTAAGAGCCAATCTTGTCAGAATATATTAATCCTTGAAATTCTCACTCTAAGAACCAAAGTTGAACATAAATTGGTGGCAAAGTCAGTTGTCATCTCTCCTTCAATATTTGTGTTTTCCTTTTCTTCGTGTTCTCAAAAAGTACTCCTCAAAGCAAGTGAAAGAATTCTCTCTAAGTGAAGCTTTCAATTTGTATAAAGAGATTCAGAAAAAGAGGTTTATTCAAGAATTGAAAAGTAATGTTTGTATTTAGGGAATCCTTTCCTTTCAAGTTTTGGATTTGAGCTATATGTGTAATTGGCCCGAGAAACCAGGTCACCTTGGGAATGTATGGAAGCCTCATGAGTGACAAAGGCTCGTTCAGGCCAAGTTAGAAAGAACTGTAAGAGGGAAGAAGACGAGCAGTGAGGGAGGGAGAGGCTGGCCTCTAGGGGAGGAGTCAGTCAGAGCGTTACACTTACCTCAAGCTCTTGACTACTGTTGGGTTTAAACTCAGCTCCCTTAGCAAGCAAGAAGCTTATATTCAGTTAGTCATTCGTTCAGTGTTAACTGAGAGCCGGGCATGTGCTGGGCACTTTGCTGGACTCTAGGGACACAGAGGTGAGTAGGGCACAGTTGCTGCCCTCCTGGGTCTTACCATGTATAATGTTCAGCTTTTCCAAACCTCTGCTGGTAAAGAGCACGAGGAAATTACATGAGTAAACACATTACTTCTCCCCTACCCCTAACTAGTATAAAGAATAATTCACAATGGGGAAACACACAAATAAATCTGACAGACACTCCCTGAGCATTTGGAAAATCATATATTTCTGTATTCTAAAGTTGAAACTCACTGTATAAAGGGAATGCAAAATGGCTTATTTGGGCGCTAAACAGTCAAATAAAGTAAAAACCCTAATAAGGAAATAACTGAATATAAAATAAATGATGGGTGACAGAGGCTTAAAATAGGGGCTAGTAGAAAAGAATTTTAGGTATGGCACATACAAACTTGGGAAAATATTTGGCGTGCCAATGCCAATAGAAAGAGACTTTCTGAAAAAAAAAAAAGATAAAGCTCAAGATATAAAGAAAATGAACATTTCTATTTTCAATAATTCTATATAAAGCCCAGCTGGAGAAGAAGAGTAACAGAAGTTGTTGCAGATAAGGCTGGGGCCAGACTGTGTCTAAAAGTTTGTTTTATCCTGAAAGCAACAAGGAATATTTTTCACAGGCAGGGAAAAAGATAGATACTTTTGTCCCTTCTAAAATGTAACGTTAGACACAAATGGGTTTGAGTATTAAAAGAGGAAAACAAAACCACAATTCAAATCAATATGCATACAGTGAGCACCTGCTATATATTTACTATCAATTATTTATTAAGCACCTACTGTATATGCCAAGAATTTCCAATTTTTGTTTTCTATTCTGAAACACAGAAGAACCTGGAAATCAGATATCACAGCCTTTAATAAATCAAATATTCAAATCAAACCAAAACCTGGATGTTATTCATTGTGTTCCCCTCTCAATATTTAATTGTAGAAAAGGTGATGGGTTCACCTATTCAAATATGGATCATAATTCCCATACTGTTAAACCAATGTATTCTATGGGAATGAAAAAGACCTTATTCACAAAGAGTCCTGACATGTATGAGCATCTGTGTTATTCTAGGCCTTGTGTGAGGAGCTCTGCATATATTATCTCATTTAATCCCAAAACGCTTTACAGAGCAAAGCCAGGGGTCAAACCCAGGTATATCAGGTTCCAAAGATTCCTTCCTTTCTGTTATACCATGCTGAAAACTATGCCAATAAAAATCCATCAGAGGAATAGAAAAGAAAATCATTTCTCCAGAATATTTAATCTGACTTATTTTAGCCTACAGCTTCCTCCCCTCATCTTTCAAAGCCTGTCATCAAGACTCTGCCTCTGTGGATCTTTCTCAACACTTCCCATTAGAGTAATCACTCCCCTCATGTCCACCATGAATTATGTTAGAGTGTGACGTTCACTGGAGTAGGAGCTCCTTGGAGACAGGGATTATCCTCTCCATTGTGGTTCTCGGTACCTGGCACACAGTAGGTGCTCAATAAATACCTGGTCATTGAGGTTAGTCTGGCTAATCCAAAAGGAGTATGTTTGCCACTGCTTCTCTCTCTAATGTCTTTTCTTTCATTGACCCAGGCTAACAGATCCCGAGATCTTGGTGCAATTGTTTACTGTGTTGGCGTGAAGGATTTCAATGAAACACAGGTATGATCATGGGTTCCTCAGGTTTGGGAGCATACCAAGCTGGTGAATGATAGAACACATGCGCACTCTGTGCAGAGAATCCATCAGCAGCATAAATACCCCTTAGATAGATCATTTTTCCAGAAATGCTAAGCAGGAAGGGAATTATTGGATGTATAAGGGATGTGAAGTCATTTGCTGATGCACTTCAGGGTCTTTAACACAGATCATCCAGGCAGCATCTTTTTTGGTTGACTTTCTTGGTAGATGTTAAAGTGCTAATTAACAAACAATTGTTAAATTGTTAAGGTGTCAAAACAGATCTGAATTAAGTTGGAAAACTTATTGGTTGTTTTTTTGTTTTTAGATTAATTTAAGGAATCTGATTTTCTTATTTAAATGGCAAACATCCCTTTTCTCCCATTAAAAATGCAATGCATTTTCAATACAAAAAAAATGGAAATAATTGGCAATTGGGCAAAAAACATGTACAAGTATATATAAGTAAATCGTGAAAATTTGCTAACAACCTAAATTAATGTACCTTGATGTAGTTCATAATTTCTTTTTGTTTTAATGACATAGGACAATGCTCATGACATGTTGTTAAATGAATAAAATAGGGTTACAACACAGTGTGAATAGTATGAGTCCACTTTTAAAATAAACGTGTATATTTGCATAGGAAAAGTAAGACTACATATATCAAATTAACAATAATAGAAAGATGATAGATGGTTGGATAGATGGATGGATGGACGGACGGATGGACGGATGGACGGACGGACGGTTGATGATTGATAGATAGATAGATAGATAGATAAATGATAGAGAGATAGATAGATAGACAGATAGATAGATAGATGGATTGTGAATAGCTTTTCTTCTTTTTCTTTTAACACTGCTGGGTTTTCTGAAATTTCCCAATGATTATGTGTTACTTTTGCAATCAGTAAAAATCCTGGCACCAACTCTGACTGTAGCAATCATAGAACATAGAGGTTTGGAGCAGAAAAGCTCGCAGATCAGCTTCTCCTTCCTCTAGTCTTCTGTTCCACAAAGCACTAGCAGCCCAACCAATTGCAAGGGTCCTTTCCTCAATGAGCAGTTTGGGTGAAAGGTAAGAGTCCCCATTCATTGGTTTCGCCCAACACCAAAGCCTGAATTTGTTTTTGAAGTTACTCTGAAAGAAACTTGAGTCAGTTTGATTCGAATATAGTTGCCAACAGAAATTTGGGTGAATGGGAGAAAAACAAGCCAATGGCCTGCCCCCAAATCCATAAATACATCAACCCAGGCCAAATATTCATCTGGCTGGGCAATCTTACCTCTGATCCCAAGAAGAAAAATATTAAAACAAATGTGAAAGCTGGAGCCGACCCTCTGGGCCTGCTCCAGAGAGGCCGCTGGTAAGCTCATTATTACTGAGGGCTTTTCAGTGAGGCCCTCTGTCCAGTGATGGCCTCAAGTTCCTCTGGGTTCTAAAAGTAGATGGAGTCCTCTGGACCCGGTGGCTTTCCTAGTTCTCCACGTCCAAGCCTGACACGTCTCCATGTATGTGTGTTTGCTGTGTTCTCAGCTGGCCCGGATCGCAGACAGTAAGGATCATGTGTTTCCTGTAAATGACGGCTTTCAGGCTTTGCAAGGCATCATCCACTCAGTGAGTAGAGCACTTCCTCTGAGACTGGACACTCGGGCATCTTCTGCCCCTTGATCTGCTGTGAATACCCCAATTCCAGCTCTCTAAGGCTGGTGTTCTTCTGCTTGAGACAACATTCCTTTATATATCTTTGTGTCCGTCATGTCCCACTTCTCTCTCCTGCCTTTGACACGTGTTTCTTTTTGTCATTCTCCTGAGCCAATTCTACCCTACAATGGAAAATTAAAAATTGAAGGGAAGCCTGCTCTGGCAGCAAGCCAAACTTCAGGTGGCCCCCAGTTCTGATACTGGAAAGACTGTGGTCAATGGTGTGCACTTGACAGACCTCACCTTTCCCAGTCATGACTGAGTGCAAGCTGCCTTCAGAGCATTTGCAGGCTCAACCTGTATCACTTGGCCATTGGAGGCACTTTCGACCAGTGGTTCTCTACTTTGGCTGCCCAATGAAATCATCTGGCCAGGTGATTTTAATGGAACCACTGCTTTAGACCTATAATCCCCAAATATGAGGGCTTCAGTGTTCTCCAGGGTTTGCACAGTCTCACCAGCCCTCCCTTCCATCCCAACTAGTGTTGAATGGAAGAAGTTCTCACACACAAATGGTCTTTTATCACCCTGTTCCTGTCATTGAATAGGACACTGGCTTCCGGGGTCTCTCTTTTCCACCATCCATTCACAGGCCAGGCCTTTGGTCCAGCTGGACTACTGGATCCCGCTGGTCTTTAAAGCCTCAGCCAGAAGGCCAGTGTGTGTGCTGCACCTATAACAAAGTCCAGAGGCGCTGTGACCTCCACCTGTAGGTTTGGTGACGAGGCAGACAGCCAGTGGTTTCTCCAGTTGGAGCTCACCAGGCTCCAGACTCGGAGTCCAGGATGAAATTCAGAGCTCAGAGGATCACTGCCCTCTTAAGATGTCAAGGGGGTCTTGGTCCAGTGGTTACCAGCCATGGGCTCAGGATCTGCCCATCTCCCCCAGACTGACCTAGGAAACCTCCAACGTGGCTGTGCCTTCACGTTCCCTCTCCCTCCAAGGTTTGCTAAGAAGTCCAGCAGAGTGGGAAGCAGAGTGAGAAGTAAGAATTCTGGAGCTGGTCATCCCAGAGTTTAAATGCTGGCCCAATGACTTATCATTTTAGATCCATGGATGAGTTATTTCACTTATTTCCTTATCTGTAAAAAGGAATTGATGATAAGACTTACATCATAGTCTTGTTTGAGGATTACAAAAAATAACACTGGTGAAAATACCTAATATTTTTCCAGGCACAGAATAGGTACTCAAGGCACATGAATTATTTCGTCTTCTACTTCCCTTCCCCATCATCCGAGGGATGTTAATTTTAGTTTCCCCCTGATCTTCTAAGTTTTCTTGAATATGCATAAAAATCACCTGGGAATCTTGTTTACAATGCTAATTCCCAGGCCCTATCCCCAAGAGATTCTATTATAGTCAGTATGGGATGTAGCCAAGGAATCTGCATCTTTTAAATCTGCCTTTTTAAATAAGTGCCACAGGTGTACTTTCAGAACATTACAACACATAACCTTCAGTTTTCAGAATTGTGAAGAATAATCCCACCTCAGGTTGGGAATACCTATCTTAAATATCTACAGATGACAGTCATTTATTCAGGACGTGTTTGTTTGCAAGGAGCAGAAAGATGCTCAAACTACCTTAACCAGAAAGTGGAAATTATTAAAAAGATAGAGAAGTATCAGTCTCAATTATGGATCCCCAGATGAGGGACCCCTGCTCTAAATAATTTCTGGGCTCAGATAGCCTACTTGACAATATAAGCAACAAGAAGTGCAATAACCATATGAAACAACACCCAAAGGGTGCAAAACGTGATTAACAGCAGGATTGGGGGCTGATCATGAATCGTTTGGAAGTTCAGAGGTGGATTATTCTGGGCTGGAGCCTTCATGAGAAGGTGGGGCAGAACTGAATCCCTGAAAACCAAGGAAGGTGATGGGTCGCACCAGAGAAGAGATCACATGATCTTAACCTGAGGGATGGAAAAGAGAAAAGCAAATTCCGAGGACAATAGTAATAATAATATACTTATCTATCTGCCTGGTTGGAGGTTTGGGGATGGATTCAGGAGTAAGGGGGAAGAAGCCTAGACATTGGGTTGGAAACAGATTGACAAGAGCCTCGAATGGGTTTTGACTCCAACTTAGTGGGTGTAATCACTGAAACATTTTGAACACCTAAAAAGTGATATTTAAGAAGAGAATCTAATGGCAGTGTCCGTGTATGTAGGAGGAGGCTGGAGAGACCCAGAGGTTGGAGCCCAATCATGAGGCTGCCACAGAAGTTCTGCTTTCAGATGGCTGGATTCTGAACTGGGACAACTCATATCTGTTCAGCGGTTCTTATCAGCCATGTGCCTACATCATTCAAGAGTTGATCCCTACCCAAATAATTAGAATATTTTTATCTGCATAAATTAGTGTTACCCGTGAATATTTCAACCTTAGCAACTCACCCAAGCTCAACATGATCCCAGATGTTTGTATAGCTCTCCCACCCCAGGATGGAAATAACTCCAAAAATGTTTTAAAAATTTTAGGGAAACAGTCTCCCAAAGAGGGAAAAAAAATATTTGAGACTTCAGTTTCCAAACTTTTAGCTGAATGATAACATTCTTGTGAGCTTTTATCTTGGAGTTATGCTAGTGGTTTTGATCCTTCCAATACTTGAAACCCATGTTTATGGCAGTTGTTAATTCGTTTGCTTGGACAGAGAAACAGGGACAAGCGTAGCAGGGCTCATCTTTCTCAAGTCAGACAGAAATAATTATGGCCTAAAAGTTGGCAAACTATTTTTAAGAAGTAGGTTCATTTCTCCTTCTGGATACTGAAAAGAAAGCTCTGGTAATTTTCCCCCCATCTGAAGCATCCTTTCCAGCTTGTTCCCATGGCTGTTGTGTGGGGGCTGGTTATTTTCTCATAATAAAATAGGACTCGGCTTAATTATCCAAAATAGGAGTGCAGAGCAGCTTTCAATAAGCTCAAACAGTTCATAAAGTTTTCAGCCCATGGTGACCTTATCTTTAAATCCCAAATCAAGATGCAGGAGCTAATATTTATTCACTCATCAAGTACTCATTGAAAACCTTTTATGATAGACTCTGGCCATTCAGTTACAAGAAAAGCAGATGGAGACCCTGCCCTGGTGGAACTTACAGTCTAGTGGGAGAGACACATAAAAACAAGTAAATAAATAAATATGTACAATTAAAATTGTGATAAATGGTATAAAAGAAATAACGTACTACTGAGATGAAGGGTAAAGGGGTTGACAAAGAAGCAGGATCCTCTGAATAGAGGACCTGCAGGATGAAATGAAGCTGTTCATCGGAAGAACATGGATAGAAAATTCCTGGCAAAGCACAGCCCTAAGATGGTGCATAGCAGGATGAACGAAGAGCAGTGCTTAAGGTGGAGAATGGCAGAAGATGAAGTGAAGAAGCCAACAGAGGCTAACTCACGGGAGCCTTGAAGACCATGGTATTTTACTCCAAGACAGTGAGAAACTATAGTCAGATACAAAGTCTGACAATAGAACAATCATGCCTGAAATCAAGACTCTCAGGAAATCTGTGATGATGGTGCTTCATCCATATCCCCTTAGGTGACGAATAAATAAACCCTCAGGATCAATGGTAATGAGGCCTGTGAAGAAGAAAAATCCCTGTGATTCACTGAGCATCTTCTCTCCACCAACTCCTCTGCTAGGCGCTTCCACAACCACTCTCTGAAGAAGGACTTATTATCCCCGTTTTACAGGTGAGGAAACTGAGGTGCAAGAAGGTTGGATAAACTGCCACAAGTCTTCCCACTCATAATGATGGAGTAGGGAATTTGAACCCAGGTCTGGCTCCAGAGATCCTGCTCTTTCCGCAATATGCAGCCACGAATGTCTGAGGAAATGGAAAATCACCACTGGGTTACCAGCTGACTACCCACGGCATGGATTCAAGTCCTGGGATTCGCTGCTTCCTCAATCTGATTCCTGTGTTTTGGTCCTCTCACTGGTCCTCAATCTTCTCTACTTTAAGGAAGAAGTACTTATGCATCAGATTTGTACAATGTGTTATTTTTCCAAGTGCTCTCACTTGTTTTCCATTTTAGTATCTCATCGGTGGGACATAGGGAAAAGGCAAAAAGAAATCAACAGCTATGAATAACTTATTTTGGGGCCAAACATTATTCCTTCTTTCCCCTTTGAAAATAACAACAAACCCATGAAGAAAATATTCTTATTCTCATTTTACAGCTGATGAAACTGAAGCTCAGATAACCTGCCCAAGAGCAAACAGCTCTAAGGGGGAGAACAGGTTGGAATCAAGTTCCATGACCCCAGAGCCCATGCTTTCTCCTACCTGTAATTCCTCAGGAAGATAAAAATAAGAAAAGCCATCATCTAGTGAGTTCCTAGGTGCTAGATTTTGTGTAAATCATTTTCCATAGTCATCTCATCAAATTCTCATGACCACCATTTAATGTAGATATTGTTACCCCTTCTATAGAAGTAGATACTATAAAAACAGAGAGTTTAGCTAACTTGTTGAAGGCCACACAGCAGTGGGCAGTGATCCAGAATACACCCAGGTCTCTCTCTAATGCCCATGATGTGAGTGACCACAGTGCTCTACTGAATAACGTGGGTAGGCCAGGAAGTAGCTCCATTTCAGAGAAGATACTGAGGACCAAAAATGTGAAATGGCTTGCTGCAGTTCACATAGTTAGAGCAGAGGCAAGACCAGAACCCATGTGGTCTGACCTGAGTGCACCGTGGGCGGGCCAGAGAGCTCTTCGCCTTTTACTATGGGGTGGAGAGCACCTCTGAGAATCTCAACTTCTGCTCGATGGGTGAAATTCCATCATCATGAGAAGCTGGCAACTTGACACAGGCTGAAAGGAAGTCTTCCCTTCTACACATGCTCAGGCCTCTACCTCTGAGCACAGAATTTCCTACTTGCTTTTGCAGAA